AAACGAGAAACATGGGGGATGAGGTAGTAAAGTAAGGAGTATTGGAGGCTTTAATCTTAAAATACCTGCTGGGCCTGGTGCAGGGCAGGAAGACGGACCCAAGGAGTGTCCATGCTGAGCTAGGCCCAGCCCAGGGCTGGGTTCTTGGAGGAGATAGAGTCTTTGACCTCAGGGAGCTTGGGTACTTCCAGAATCAGACAGAAAATGGAAATAATAATATTGAGTAGCTCACATAGTTATTGAGTGCTGTCCACCAGGCATTGTTCTAAGCCCACCTCCTGATAGTTTGGGTTTTGCCCACCTTCATTCTCCACTTCAGCCCTTTGAGGTGGGCGTCGTCATCACCCCTCTCTGGCAGATGAAGAAAGTGGGGCCTGAGTATGTGGGGCAATGTGCAGGTGACACGTGTCAGGGAAGTGGCAGAGCTGGGCACCCAGTGCAGCAGCGTGTCTTGGGGAGGCTCTCACACTGAACCTCTGTGTCCCGCCCCCTTCCATGTACTCACTTCTGCCCAGTGCGCTGACCTGAGACCTCGGGGTCTCAGGTTTGTCTCCTTTGTCCTTCCAGGTGGACCTCCCCATCCATCCAGGAGACTCACACCCTGAAGACATCCTCGGAAACCCTCCTGAGAGGTAGCAGGACCCAGGGGCCTGGGACGGGACTTGGGGGCGGAGGAGAAGACCAACACCATTGCCCTGCCTTCCTTTCTCCTTAGCAGCCCCTCAGAACCAGAGCTGCAGCAAGCCCTGGTGCCCGTGGTGAAGGAGCTGGTCCCAGTCAGGAGGCCGGTCTGGGGCCAGCTCTGCCTGTGCCCCCCGCGCCCCCAGCTGCTCAGGTGCACCCCACAGCGTCTCCAGAAGGAGGGTGGTGGTCAGACGTCGGGGACACCACAGGCTCCCGCGGGCACCACCAAGCACTGTGCTGCCTCCCTGCAGGGTCGCCCGGCTCCTCCTGATCCCGGTGCCACTCCTGGGCCTGCTGCTGCTGCTGGTGTTCACCGCCACGCTGCTGAGCCAGTCCCCGCCCCCCACGTGGCCCCACCTCCAGCTCTGCTACCTCCAGCCTCCTCCAGTGTGAGCCATGCCCCCACCCCTGCAGAGCAGTGCGTAGTTCGGTGACTTCCTGGGGCTCTTTCTACTGTTATTCTCATGGTTGTGCCACTGTGCCTTGGGATTATCCCGCTGTTAGGGACCCCAGATACAGTGCTCCAGGAGCCACACCCCTGTACTGGGTTTTTATGTGAAGTCTCTTGGTTTTTTAATGATAACAAAACACTAGGGGTTATAGTTTTCTTACAAACCAAGTCTGAAGAAGGGCAGCTGTCAGCTCACAGCTCAGTCTCCACAGCATTGGGGCAGAGTGCTGTAATTCTCTCTACCTCTCTTGGCCCTTCCCTTGTGCTCAGGAGATGACACTGTAGCTTCATAAGTGATGTCTGCAGGGAGAAGGGGACACATCCCTTCCTTTTTATAAAGAAAAGCAATAGCTTTCCCAGAGCCAGCAGCAGACTCTGCCTTGTTGGCCAGAACTGTTCGGCATGACCACTCCTCACTGCAAGGGCAGCTGGGAGACTCCTGGCAGAAAGAGGGAGAACAAGATGTGGGCCAGGCATACCCACACACAAACACAGATGTCGCCAACAGCCAGCAGGAAAGGATGTGCCATTTGTTCCTTCAGCTAATTCTTAGTGATCATCTATTTGCCATGGCTAGATCTTAGAAGACAGTAAAACAGACCCTTCAATGCCAGGCTGAAGTGTTGAGTTTTCTCCTGAGGATGACAGGGGTTTGGGGATGTTTTGTTACTTGTTTTTGGTTATTTACTTTGTATTGAGCTGTAACTGACATACAGTGATAAATGGACAAATCCCAAATATCAGCTGGATAAATTATTGTACATGTAAACACCCATGAAAGCAAAATCCAGGTCAGGACAGAGAGCAGTTTCAGCACTGCAGAGACTTCTTCAGGAGAGCTTTGAGCAAGGGAGGGACCACGGTAGAGGTGGCTTCAGGCTCTGTGAGAGCTCAGAAAAACCACCTAACCCCGCCTGGAAAGTTAGAGATTTCTTTCCAAATATGGAACAGATTTTGCATTTAATTTTTAAAGATGGATAAGGTTGGTTATAGTGAGCAGAGGCAGCAAAGAATATCCCAGGCAGAGGGGAAAAATGAATGTGTGACAACCAGGTGGATGGAATACTTGTCTGTGTGTAGAAAGCCATAGACAGCACTATGTTGCTTGAATTTAAAAAGAAAAACAAAGCCAGAGATGGATTTGATGCTTTAGAGTTGCAAGAAGTAAGATAGGTAGACAAGAGTCCATTAAGCATTTTGAACAACACCAGCTTCTACTGAGCTTTACTGCCAAGTGTCGAGAAAAGGCTCTGATCATAGAAGAGGCAGAATCAACTCTAGGTGGGAAAGAGACCACCTGAGCCTGTACAGGGGATGGATAATGGGAGTGAAGCTGGAGGCAGGAAGCAGGGAAAAAGTAGGAGGGCATGAAGCCTGAGCTGGGCTGGGTGAGTGGATGGAAAGAAGCGCAGGGCAGAGAGTGTCAGAGCAGGAAGGACAGCACCAGGCCTGATAGGCTATGAAGGGGGAAAGCAAGGACCAGCATGTGACCCAGTGACTGGCGGACAGTGGAGCCATTCCCGACATGGAGACCCCATGGGAAGGAATGGGTTTCGGGGGACACTGAGCTCATGTGGGATGGAGTGTTCCAAGAAGGCTGGAGCCCCGAACTTTGAACTCTTAGTCTGGAAATAGAGTCTGGGTGTTACTAGCTATGATGGTGATTGAAGTGTGGAATTGCTGAAATTTCCTGAGGAGAGGGGAGTAGTGTGAGAAGGGAAGGGGTTCCAGGCACCATTCTCTGAAAAGCCTCAAATGCTAAGAAAGCGATCTGGGGAGGAGGGAAGTACAGGAAGAGCATAGGCCAAGATACAACAAGACCCAATTACCAGGCCCTTCAGCAAACAACAGAGGATAAGCCTCCTTATGACATTTTAATTCTATTTCTCCATGAAAGTTCTGAATGCAACTTCTGAAGTTGCACATATTTGGGTTCCAGTTATCCTTCTGTCCTTTCCTAGCTGACAACCTGGGGAAATGACCTCAGACTGCCAGAGTCTTGTTTGTAAAATTTGGCCAACTCATTTTTGTGACACGTGCATGCTCAGTCATGTCTGACTCTTTGCTAACCCATCGACTGTAGCGTGCCAGGCTCTGTCCATGGAATTTCCCAGGTAAGAATACTGGAGTGGGTTGCCATTTCCTACGCAGGGGATCTTCCCGATCCAGGGATCGACCCCGCGTCTCCCAGGTCTCCTGCATCTCCTGCATTGGCGGATTCTTTACCAGTGAGCCACCAGGAATACAGTTATTCATTGTTTAGTATTTCTGAGTAACAGGGAAATAGCCCCACCCCACAGCCTAACGGCCAATTAGGACGCGATCCGCCTCTCGGAATGCAAATTACCGGAGAAGTTGCCAATCACAAAGTGCCAGCCCCGCCCCCTTTCCCCACGATGACGTGGCCAACTCCTCTCTTCTGAAGGCCAATCAGAGCGCGATCCGCGCAAATTGCCCCAGGAGCTTGGCTCAGAGCCCTCAGCATCAGGTTAGGGGAGTGGGTTGCCATGGTCACCATTGAGGGGCAGGACTGAAGGGCCAGCGGAGCCTCCAGAGACAGAAAAAAAGCGAGGGGCAAATTCTGGTTATCTGCTTCCTCACTTCCTTCATGGGTGAGCCAGGTGTTTCCCTGCCTCCGTCCCATGCCTCTTAAAGCCTGTCACCTGTCCTCTCCTCCCGTCCCGTCCCGACTGGCACGGATGATCTGGGAATCGCGCAGTTAGAACACCCTGCAGAAACTGCTGCAGGCTGTTGCAAGAGAGGTGGAAGCCCTTTTCTTTTTTTCGGGGGGGGGGGGGGGGCGGGGAGGTGTGGGTTGCGCTCCGTGTGGCTTGCGGGATGTTTGTTCCCGACCAGGGACTGAACCCACCCCAGCAGTGAAAGCATCGAATCCTAACACTGTTATCACCAGGGAATCCCCAGAAACCCTTTTCTGATAATACATTTTGCTTCCAGAAGGGCGCTGTACTTCAGTCTCCTAATTGTATATCTGGTTTAAGTCTTACAATAGATGAGGAAAAGGGAGCTGAAAGGTTAGAAGCTCTTCCCAATATCACACAACTAGGTTTAGGGGAGCCTGGTTTTGAATAGCAAGTACATCTCCAGAGCTCCCACCCCATCCCACCGCCTCCGATCTTTCCACTGTGCCCAAAGTAGAAGTCGGGAAGTGATGAGAGAGTGAAAAAAAGAAATTCAGAGAAAATGAGAGCTGGGAGAAAGAGATGGAGACCTATAGGAAGAAAGGGGTTTGGGGGGAAGAACATGAATGAGTCAGGCAGAGAAAACAAAGTGCTCGCTTTGAAGGAAGCGAGCTCGCTTCAGCAGCATGTATACTAAAATTGAAACGATACAGAGAAGATTATCATGGCCCCTGCGCAAGGATGACATGCAAATTTGTGAAGCGTTCCTTATTTTTCTGAAAAAGTAATTGAAGAGTTTAGGCATAAAGAAGACGAAGAATCCCCAGAGGGCCGGGAAGCCAGGAGGAAGGAATTATAGAGACTCCGAGAGAGGACAGATACCCAATGAGCTACAGAGACCCAGAGAAGGGCCAGTGACCCAGAGGGGGACAGAGACCAGGGAGGTTACAGAGAGCGAGAGAAGAGGGGAGGATGGAGATGCAGGGTGGGTTGGGAGCAGGTGTGCGAGTGGAGAGGGACAAAGGCACAGAGTGGGAGTGAGGGGCAGAGCTGGGGCAGTGGCGTAGAGGAGGTGGGGCCGAGGGGAGGAAGAATGAGTGGAGGGAAAGATGAGGAGAGGGGGACTCAGGGGTAGAGGCCAGCGTAGCGGACGCAGGGCCCGCCCCCGTGCACGTGCGCATACACCCCCCACCACCACACACAGGCACGCGAGGCGCAGTCGGGAGGCGCAGCAGGGTCTTTATTGCGGTGGGGCGGGCAGGCGCTCAGGGCGCGTCCAGCACCAGCAGCTTGTGCATGTACGAGTTCAGCCAGTGGCGGCGCTCGAGGGCGGCCAGCAGCCGCGCGCGCTCCCGGAAGGCCGCGTCGTCCGCCAGCGCCAGGCTCCGCCGCGACTGGGGGGTGGCCGGACCCGCCCGAGCCCCGCCGGGGGTGCGGAGTCTGCCGGGAGATGGAATGAGGCGGTTACCGTGGGTCCCGGCCCGCCGCCCGCCGCCTGTTCTCCCCGCGGTCTAACTCGAAGCCCTGTGACTGCACCAGCTGCGGAGGGGCTCGGTCTCTGTCGCCCTGTCTCTTGCTCTGTGTGGGTCTTCGGCTCAGTGTTCACCAGGTTCCGAGCCTCCTGAGTACAGAGACCGAGTCTGATACCCCTGTCCGGCCCCAGCGCTCGGCGCACGCGTGGCACACACCGCAGACCAAATAAACGTTGCTCAGGGAACAAACTCGTTCCTGCTTGACTCCTTTCAAGTCTCTCAAAGCCTTTCTCAGAATCCTTTTGTGTCTCTTTGTTTTGCAGATTACCTACCTGTCAGCCTCCCATCTCTGACCTCTCTGGGTCTCTATTTCCCCTTTCTGAGTCTTTGTTCCCCATTCTCTTTGGGTCTCTTTCCACCTCTTGCAGTCCCCACCCTTCCTTGGGAGACTTGGATGTCCCACTTACCTGAAGACCCCCGTGGGAGGTAGGGCGACTCCTGAGGCCGTGCGGTGGCCCCAGGACACAAGAAGCAGCAGCAGCAGCAGCAGCCGCACCCGGGGGCCCCTGGGTACCTGGCGGGTCTCCATCACCTGTGGAGAGACAAGAAAGAGCTCGGTGATGCCCGCGTCTGGGCCCAGAAACCAGACCCCATCATCCCACCCACCCACCCCTGAAGCCCATTTGCAGGGTGCCCTACCGCGCAGTGGGCTCCCAGCAGCGAGTCTAGCACCCCCTTATATCGCCTCCACAGCCCCCGCAGCGGCCAGTGACGCAGACCAGGGGGCCGGGGGCACCGGGTCACCCCCACCCCAGGCTCATTAGGAGCTGCCAGCGGTAATGAGGAGCCGGGGGTGGGGGGCCAGCCGCTGCCTTGGCGGCCACCCACTAATTGGGACCAGGAGCTGGGACCTGAGGAGAATCGGGAGGGGGAGAGACAGACAGACAGAGAAGTGGACACGGGGGGTGTGTCAGAGGGATAAAAATAGAGACCAGCGGAAGGACCATCAGAGCAGGAGCCAGAGACAGAGAAAGAGACAGGGGAAGGAACAGAGGAGGGACCGATGGGGAGAAGCAGAGACACAAAGAGATGAAGCAACCATGAGAGGGAAGGACAAAGAATGACAGAGAAAAGGAAAGAGAGGGAGAAAGGGAGCAACAGAGGAAGTTAGGAGAAGGGAAGGAAGAGAGAAAAGAGGGGAAAGGGACCAAGAGAGCAGTTATGAGATGGAGGATCAAGGGGGACGGCACTCAGAGAGACAGAAGGAGATGGAAGGACAGCCAGCCAGCCTGGGCAGAGATGTCCAGAGCCAAATCCAGGCAGGCAGAGACCAGAAAGACTGAGAGGTGGGAGACGGGGGTAGGAAAGAGGAGGCAAAGGGGATGTGTGGTGGTGGGAGGTGAAGGCAAGTATAGTGACAGGCAAAATCAGGAAAGTCTTAGCGACACTGCATGGAAGGAGAAAAGACAAACAAGGGCCCTGACTACCTGAGGTTGTGTCCAAGCCCTTCCTGGGGAGGAATTTGGAGGTGCTGTGAAGATCAGGCCCATCCCCCCAATACTGGCTTTTAAGAGGGTGTGCTCTTCATGATGGGATGGTAGGCAAAGGTTGGGAAGTCCCAAAAGGCAGCAGCAATCTGGGTCTCTGATTGACAGGACATGGGAACCGAGACTCCTAGTTCCCCAGAGAGGAGGGGAACAAGGCCTGGGTCTGGAAACCTAGATTCCCAGATCTGAGGGGAGAGGTCTGGGCGGGGGCGGGGGGGTCCCAATTTCTGGATATTGAAGTGGGAGGCTATCAGGGACCTGGATGCTTGGTTTGGGTGTAGGAGAGGGCAGAGGGTTGGGGCCCCTAGATTTGCAGGGAGGAGAGCTTGGTTGGGCCACACCCCTCCACCAGATGATCCAGTCCCTAACTCCCTCCCCCACTCCAGAAACACTATCCTTTATCTCTGGCCCTTTAAGAGCTCAAGCTGTCGCTAGGCTCCCAGGATCCCAAGGGTGGGCATCAGTTGCATCACCTGCGCCCCTGGGACCCTACCTCCTGCCACCCCACCCAGAGCCATTCTGCAGCATTCACCGATCTCTGCATTCAGCTCTGTTCACCTGTTGTTATTTTGGACCCCACTGAGCAGGTAAGAGACCCCAAACCCCAAGTGATCCCATCCCATTTGGGTGTATGCCCACGCTACCTCCACCTAACCACAGACCTAGGTATCCCTGCCCAAGACCAGCCTGAAACCTGGGATCCCAGCTTCCATCCTCCATAGAGACACGAGTCCTGCCCCAAGCTGTCTCCTGAAGGCTGAGGAATCCAGACCCCTTACACACCTATCTCTGGAGGATAGGAGACTCAAGAGTTTCCAATCTCCTTCTAACTCAGGACCCAAGAGTTCCATACACCCATTTCCTTTCTCTCCTGTAATCCACAACCCACCCACCCCCAAGCTTTGCTCCCTCAAAATTCTAGGCATCTGAACCTTCAGGCCTCCTCAAAATTCTAGGCATCTGAACCTTCAGGCCTCTCCTTTCTAGAGAATTAGGAATTTAGATCCACATTGCCCTCCACCCTCTGGTAACAAGGAGTCTGAACCCCCAGCAGCCTTCTTGACCAGGATCCAGGAGTCTTCCGCCTCCTCAGGTTACAGGTATTTAGGCCCCCTCGCCTCTCAAACCCAGGCGGTCAGGCCCCCCAGTCGTTCCTTCTGACCTCTAATGTAAACAACTGTTGAGTCAAGATATCCCCAGGGCCATTGAAGAGGAATTGATCCCATGTCCCCTCAGAGGTCTACACACTTCAAAGCCAAAGTCAAAGAGATCTGGGGGCTTGGAAATGTGTCTTTCTTTCCCAATTTTCCTGGGACCCCCTTTGGGGAAACAGATAAGGAAATTTACTATGACTCCCAAGAAGCCCTGCGCCTCAGTCTCCCTTAGCTACCGTGGCTTCCACCCCACGACCTACTGGGGAGTTGCAGGTGGCATCTCCTTTTCCTGGCACCGACCTGGGTGGTGCTAACATGGTCTATCTGGGGACCACTGGGCGTGGCCTCCGGAGTGGGCAGAGGCCCCTCCCTTGTGGCTCTGGCCTTAACCCCTTCCTTCCCGCTCCCCTGCTGCTACAGGTATCACCCAGAGCTATGAAATCCTTCAGACCAATCCTCTTCCTTCTCGTCTTCCTCTTCACCCGGCTGGGCTCCAAGGCCGCCCCTTTGGTCTCACTGCCTGTGGGCTCCGACTTGGGGATAGACCACCCCTCCCAGCCCTACCCTCCGGCTTCTGAAAATTCCACTCTCTATGGACCTAACCCAGAATCCCCAGGGGCTGCTTATCCCGAGCCCTCCAAGACACCTCATGTGATTTCCTCTGAGCCCTCCCCCCTTGCCTTCACTGAGACCCCCAATACTGACCTCCAAGAAACCCCCCACCAAGAGCTTCCTAAGGCCCCCAAACCTAACTCATTCAACACCTCAACACCAGAATCCCTGGACACCTTCCAAATCAACCCCTCCAAAATGATATATCCAGAACTATCTGACACCCCCAAAGCTGACCTGACTGAACTTCCACACACACAATACCCTGAGGCCTCTACACTTAATCCCTCTAAAACCTCACATCCAGCATTTTCTGAGACCCCAAACCCTGACCCTACCCAAACTCAACACCAAGAATCCCCAGAGATTTCCAAGGTTAACTCCACAGAAATATCACACACAGAATCCTGTGAGAATCTCAACTCTAATCCCTCTAAAACCTCACACCCAGCATTTTCTGGGACCCCAAACCCTGACCCTACCCAAACCCTACATCAAGAATTCCCAGAGATTCCCAAACTTAGCTCCCCTGAGATATCACTTGCAGAAACCTCTGAAACCCGAAATTCTGACCCCACCAAAATCTTTGACCTCAAGTCTCTGGAAACCCATGACCCTGACACCCCAAACTCTAAATTCCTCCAGACCCTCCATCCTGACCCTACTGAAACACCCCACCCGGCATCTCATGTAGGCCACAAACCCAACCCCACGGAGATTCCCCAAACAAAATTCCCCACAACCCTCTACCAAGACTCAACAGAGATCCCCACGGCCTCTGACCCTGAAATCTTCACTAGCCTTGCCCCAGAAACTCCTGCACCCTTCAAAGAAGAAGTTACTGCTCTTAATGAGCAACCCCTGAATCCCAAATCAGAAGCACTTGCAGCCACCCAGCCCACCACCCTTAAATTGCCCGCCTCAGATTCTCCGGGGACAGTTGATCTGAAAGCCCCCCAGAATTCTAGCCCTAAAGGGCCCGACGCCCCTCCTCCCTCAGCCCGGATTGCGGGGGCCCCTGCTCCTCCAGGGCCCCCCAATCAGCAGGCCCCAGGCAGTCCGCGGGCCCCCCAGCGGCACAGCCGAGGTGAGAGAGTCAACACTATCATCGTGTTGGAGCGAGTACAGGAGACCGGTGAGGGGCTGGGATCACCCGGGCTGCTGGGTCTGAGGGAGGAGGGGCTGGAGGCCTGGACCCCCGGGTCTGAGGGAGGAGGGGCCGGGGGTCTGGACTTCTGGGTCTGAGGGAGGAGGGGCTGGGGGCCGGGACTCCCGGATCCGAGGGCGGAGGAGGGCGGGATCTGGATTCCTGGGTCTGAGGATGGAGGGGGCTGGGCGGTTACAGTGCTCAGTCTCTGGGCCTCGTTCCTCCAGGCGTGACCCTGGTGGGGCGTCCCCGGGGCGCGGCAGGCGGGGCCCTCTGCCTGTTCCTCGCCGGGATCGGGCTGCTCATCGGCATTTTCCTGGTGCTGTGGTGTCTCCACCGCCGGGCGGCTCGACACCGGCCCTTCGCACACCACCGCCTCCCGAACGACGGAGATGAACCGGGTGAGCCACTCCTGCAGCGTCCCGCTCCTCGAGTGCTTGCACGTGTCCTTAATCTGGCTTCTCCTGGCACTGAAGGGTGCCCTACCTAAAAGTACAGGTCCCCATCCAAGGTCAGTAGAAGCCCTGACCCCCAATTCTCTGGAAATTTCACCAACACCTGTGAAGTTGCTCCCCCAGCGCAGAGTGGAGTTGCCCCCCTCCCCCCTCCTGGTGCGCGGCCTGCCCCGCCCTTGCTGCGCGGACGCCACGCCCCCCTCACTATTTAAGGCCCCTTAAGATTATTCGCTGCCCTGGTGGCTCAGAGGTTAAAGCGTCTGCCTGCAATGTGGGAGACCTGGGTTCGATCCCCGGGGTGGGAAGGTCCCCTGGAGAAGGAAATGGCAACCCACTCCAATATTCTTGCCTGGAGAATCCCATGGACGGAGGAGCCTGGTGGGCTACAGTCCACGGGGTTGCAAAGAGTCGGACACGACTGAGCGACTGAAGATTATTCGAAAACCCCGTTCCAGTGGAAGCTTGGAGTCCTCGCCCCCGTTTCCTCATCGGCCAGCGGCTCAGTAGAGGGGACAGGCCCCCAGTCAGCCCGGGGACGACCTCGCTCCTTTGTCCCCATAGTTATGCATTTGGACGCCCCGAAGGAACCCTACGACCTCTACTTTTATGCGCCGGACGCCTGGGTCCCTTCACACATCGCTACCAAGCAGCCACCGCCCACCCCCCCGCTGCCGCCCAAGCTGCCTCCGCCGCCCCGCGGGGGCCGCCCCCAGCGCCTGGAACCGCTCTCCCCTGCCACGCTCCCCAACAACTTCCTGTGAGCCTCTCCAGACCTGCGCCAGCCCCAGACGGAGGAAGCACCCAGGGGTCCTGCCCCCGGGGTCAGCTTTGCTACCTAGTGGTCCTCTAGGATAGAGGACACCCAGAAAATGCTTTAGATGTCAGCGGAGAACACAGTCTGAGACCGAATAAATCGCGTGTTCCCACAGCTGGACAACTCCTCTGGCCTAAGTCCTGGGAAAGGAGGGTGGCTGGGGTCAAGGAGACTGGGGGCTCCTCGGTACGAGGGAGAAGGGGGCTGGAGATTCCCAAGGCCAGTGACGACTGGGTGTGTACACCAAAGCATTTTATTGGGAGAGGGGCAGGGCAGGATTTACAATTACAGAGACAGACACAAAGACACAACCCTGCCCCGGGGAAAAACGCCCCTTTTCCCCAGCCCCATTCCCTTTCCTGGGATTCTGTGACTTCTCCTATACATATGTTCCCCCAAATTCTAAGCCGAAATAGGGGAGTCTGAGAGGGAAGGATCCCAGATTTGGAGTCATTTAGCCCCTGAGGGGCGCAATAAATGGCCACTGAGAAGATGCGGGCGGTTCAAAACCACCCCGGAGAATAAAGTGCAAGGAACTGGGGGGAAGGGGAGCGTCTTGAAACCACCATGGGGAAGTTCAGTGGCGGTGGTTTCAAACCTTTGAGTTGATGGACTGGAGCAGCCGCTCTTCTTAGACCTGAAAATCGTGTCAGAAAAAGTGCATGGGGGTGAAGAGAGGCGTATTGTTAAAACTGCCATTTTGGTTGTCTCCCTAGGCAATGTGCTAAGCTGGGAGGTTTGGGGGAAATTTGGTGCTGCAGCAGAGTCTGCTGGGGGGGGGGGGGAGGAATGAAGAGTTTGGGGGGGAGGGTGCTTGAAACTGCCATTTCCCCTCAGAAACGCTGGTGAGAATCAATCCCTAGAATGGCAGGGATGGGTGATTAGTTAAACCAACTTGGAAAAAGCAGAATACAGTTGGGAGATATTTGAAACTTCTAGAGGAAGACCTTGAATTTTTTTGAAAGAGGAGGGGGGTTGAGTAATCTCAGGGGTTAGCCTGAGAGTCCCAGGGGTTCAAGGAAAGGGGGAGGTGCCTAAAGCCACAAGAGAGAGGAAGAGTCTGAATTGTCCATTCAAATAAAGCCCTGAAAGGAGAGATTTGAAACCACTGAGGCAGAAAAAAGTGGAGAAGGGAACCTTTAGGGGAATTTGGGTATCCTTGAAACTGCCAGTCTGCAGCTTCACTACCCCTGAGAGGCAAACAGGATGGGAAGAGATCTGACAGCACTGGGAACAAGGGAGAGTGCTTCTTAGGCCTGAGGAAGGACAGAGAGACTGGGGTTCCTTGACACTGTCACTCAGGCCGGAGATGTGAGGAATGGAGGTCCTAGAAACTGCCATCCAGTGGGAGGCACGTGGTCAGTAGTCCCGGACAGGGGGTGGGGGTCTTGGGGGTTGAACTGTGCTGTGTGTAGCCCCATAGGATGGAGGGGGAGCAGGGGGTGCCCCGGGGGGCTCAGCCTCATCCTCCATTTCACTTTCGTCGCTGCCAGCCAGCTGGTCGTGGCCAACGAAGCCACATTTCTCTTCGCTCATCTCCTCAGGCTCCGCCCACGGCTGCTTCTCTCCCGAAGCGAAGACCCCGTAGAAGATGACGCCCCCATAGTGCACCAGGGAGGCAATGAGGAACACATACTGCCACTCCTCTCGAGTCTGCAGGGGGGACACCCGGGAGGTGAAGTCAGAGGACAGAGGGACAGGAGAGGGGGGCGGGGCTATGGGAGGGGCGGGGCTGTGGAAAGGGCGGGGTTAGGAAAAGGGCGGGGCTAGGGCGGGCCTTTTCTCTGGACAAGGAGCCGGAGATCCAGAGAGGTGACTTATGTCAGGAAGGTGCTGTACACTGATTTGGAGGGCAAGTAGGTCAGGGCCCAAGCACGGACCTTGTGCTTAGTCATGGCACCCACGATGATGGGGCACACCATGCCGGACAACGTGCCCACGCCGTTGGAGATGCCCATGAGGATGCTGGCATAGCGCGGGGCGATGTCCAGGTGGTTCACGTTGAACCCTGGCGAGGCGAGCCCGGGAGGCGTCACAACCGATTCCCACGCCAGTGACTCCTCCCCCAGCCTAGCCTCCCCGGACCTCCCGGCCGCTCCGCTTTTTCCCGTCCGCCTTTCGCGAGGCTGCGAGGTGCTCTACCTGAGCCAGGAAGTTCCCCACAGAGCTGACCAGAGTCCCCCCACCCCCAAGCTGCAGATCGCTGGTTCTCACCAGAGATGGCGAAGCCGCTGAAGCCCACGGCGAGGACTAGGAAGGAGATGGCCACGCCCTTGGAGTGCGAGTAGCCGACCACCAACAGCAGCGTGGCTTCCATGCCAAAGCCTACGGAGGACCACCCCCTCTGAGCGCAGCCCGCCCCGCCCCGCCTCTCCAGACCCACTCCCGGCTCCCAACCTCTCCCAATTTGACCCAGTCCTGCCACTTCCACGCCTGTCCCTGGCTTTGTCCTCCATCCTGCCCGCGCCGGCCCTAACCAAGCCCTCAATTCTCCAGCCTGGCCCTTGACCACGTGCACAGGCTTCGCTGCCCCAGCTGGGACCTCAATGGCCTCAGCCCTTGACTAGACCACGCCCTGAAGACGGAGGGTCTAGGCCCCACCTCGGCACCCTCACGGCTTCCCTCTCAGTCCCCATTCATTACACTCAGACCTTCGTCTCTCCGGGTGCCCCTCCTCATCACCCAGGTCCCATCCTACTCTGGCCAGCCTCGTATAGGCCCGGTCCTCCCAGAACCAACATGGTCTCGCCTTTGCTTCACCTGGGCAGCCACACCCCCTTGCCCTTCTACAGGCACTGCCCCGGAGGCTGCCACCTGAGATTCTGTTCCTGCCAGACCTGGTCTCGCTCCGGCTCCACCTTTTTGGACACGCTCCCCAAGGACACGCCCTCTGACCCCGCCCCATCCTCCATGGTCCAGCCCCCTAGATCCGCCCAGCCGTGCTCTGCCCGTCCCAGCCCGGTCCCAGATCCAGGCCCCGCCCCACTCACCTCCGCAGTTCATCAACTTGCGCACGTTGGTGGTGGACATGATGCGGCGGCTCCTGAGGAAGTCGGCGATCTGGCCTCCAATGGGCACGATGATGGTCATCACCAGGTGAGGCAACGCTGACACCAGGCCCACCTGCGCCAGCGGGCGTACAGGGAGGCGCGGCTCAGCGGCCACCTGCCTGGGGGTCTCACCACGGCTTCCTCTCTGCCCCCTTTCCAACCCCTTGGGATCCAGGTTCCTCTCCTTCCCGGGCTCACCCTCCCGCCGCGCCCGCAGCCTCCCCTTCCGGGCCCAACCTTGCTGATCTCGAAGCCGAACACTTCTTCAAAGTAGGCAGGCTGGGAGATAAGAAGCAAGTAGAAAGTCCAACTACGACAGAAGTTGGCCACGATAATGGCGTAGACTGGCATGGACGTGAAGAAGCGCCTCCAGGGTGTGTTAAACTTCTGTGGTGGGCGAGAGGAGGGAAGGGCTGCTAAGACTGAGAACAGGGCTGGGCGCTCTCCGAGTCCCTTCAGGGATCCTACGATAGTCCCGCAGAGACCCAGATTTCCCTGTCTCACTAAAGCCGCCAAGGAGGAACGCTAACATCCTAGCCTCAGTGGTCCTCAGGCTGGCGGGTGTCCAGACAGCACGATAACCTTCAGAGAGTCATAAATGTGGATCCAAGAGTCTCCTTCCACCCAATTATGCCCCCTAATTCGAGCCTCACCCACCCTGAGGTCTGAGCAAACTCCCACATTCTAATCCGCCTCTGCAGGTTTAACCACGCCCTTCAGTGGTTCCGTCCACCTCGCCACCTAGCCCTGCTCTCGGCACCTGCTAACCCCGTCCTCCCTGGGCTTTAATCACGCCCCCTAGGTTCTAGCGCCATCCAACTGGCGATCCCATCGTCTCCTCTAAACGCCTATGGAGATGTCTATGAAGATCTACCAAGATCCACACGCAGTGCGGGTTCAAAGCCCCTCTTCCTCCCGTCTCCCTGCCTTGATAGCTCTCCTCTTCCCACCGCGTCCCCGCCCCCCCTCCCCAGGCTTGGGCCCGGACCGTGACGGGGTTCATGAGCTTGGCGCTCTCGCCGATGGCGTCCTCGATGTACTTGCGCTCCTCCTCCGAAATGCTAGGGTGCAGCGCCGGGGACTCATAGGAGACGAGCAGCCAGAACAGGTACCAGAAGATCCCGAAGCTGCCTGGTGGGGGGAGGGGGTCAGGAGGAGGATGGAAGCGAGGTGACGACCGGCCTCGCTCTGCCCCAGCGCCACCCGGACCCAGGCGTCCGGGCCCCTCACCGTAGACGTAGAATACAGAGCTCCATCCCGAGTACTGCACCAGGACTCCGGCGAGAGGCATCGCGACCACCGCCCCAGCATAGGACCCTAACGGGGAGGGTGCAGGATGGAGAAGAGCGCATCTTTCCTCAAATGCAGTAGTGCGGATTCCCAGCCCCCACCTTTCTGGGATACAGAAGTATCGGCCACTGCCCCTCCTCCCTCAGACACGTCGGTCTGGGTCACCAGCCCTCTCCTCTTTAAGATCCGGGAGTTCAAGCCCGCAACCCCCTCCTCCCTCCACGGAAGAGTCTGGACTTCAGCCCACCCCCCAACCCCAGCCCCAGACCCACGAGTCTGGATCCCTGCCCCTTCCTCTCACCGCAAAAGGCTGTCGTCGCCAGGCGACTCCGCTCTAAGGGCGGGGCCCATTTGCTCCAGATCCCATGGCAGGCGGGGTACGTGACCCCCTAGGGAAGAAAAAACCAAAGTCAACGAGAAAAGGTGGAGTCGGAACGGCAAAGAGGTCATAGGGGGCGGAGATTTACCTCTACCAACCCCTGCAGGATCCTCACGAAGATGACACAGCCATAGTGGACACGGGCAGCCGAGGGGATCAGCATGTTTAGAGTGGAGGTAGCCACAATAGCAAAGCCGAAAACCCTGATAGGAAAAGTTGGTGTTCCGA